TCAGATCAGAGATGGTTGAGCCAAGGTACACAAATTCATGGACAACCTCCAATTCTTGCATGGAGAACTTACTTGGTAATTATATTTTTAAAAATAATTCCAGAAATGTGTGTAGCAAAACAAAATGAAAAGGATTCTGGCACTTTTAAAGAAGCCGTGACAAAATTAATGTATTAAAGGTTTTTACTGGGGAAAAAATACGATTATCTTATTACATATGAAAAAATGATGTTTATCTTACTGTACACAGTCTTATCTGCAATGAGAAATTGGAGATAAGACCATAAAGAAATCAAGTGCAATAATAACAGTGCTAACCACATCTTACATGAATCTGTTACATTCATTTTACTTGTTTGGCCCTTGGACTGTACATCATTACTTCATGTGATGGAACTGCATTTAATAATTAAACTTTAGACCAACTGTAAGAAAAAAAATACTGGAATGCATATTCTTAAGGCTGTGCATGCTCTGTGTGAGCCTGTCAGCAGCTTTGACCTTTGAGATTTAAGTACAGCAATTCTGATTAACAGTGTGTACTGGGCAAGTTAAGAACTTGTGAATAAACAGAAGAATACTTCATTTGCCTGTTAGAATTAATCAACCATTTTATAACAAATCAGTCATATTCCTCAAAGATGAAAGACATTGGAAATTTGAAGCAATACTGCACAAACAGAGCACAAGTTGAAGTGACTAAATTGAGGAGGAGGAGGAGGAACATGTTATGTGTCGTCAAATTCTCCACAACTTATGGTGACCTCGTGAATGAATGAACTCCAAAAAGTTCTTTCCTCAACAGCCCAGTCCAGCTCTTGGAATCTCAATCCTGTGGATTCTTTTAGGGAATCCATCCATCTCATGTTTGCTCTTCCTCTTTTGCTGTTGCCTTTCACTTTTCACGACTTTATTATCTTTTTCAGAGAATCCTGTCTTCTCATGATACGCCCAAAGTAGGACAGCCTCGGTTTCAACATTTTTGCCTCAAGAGATAGTTCAGGCTTGATTTGATCTAGGACGAACTTGTATGTCTTTCTGGCAGGCCAAGGTATCCACAAAGCTCTCCCAGCATCACATTTCACACAAATCTTCTTTTTTCCCTGTCAGCTTTCTTTAGTGTCCAGCTTTCATACCTATACATGGTGATAGGAAAGACAATTGTGTGGATGATCTTGATCTGTGTCTCTAATGACACATCCTTATGCTGCATGAACATTTCTAGTTCCTTCACTCCTGCCCTCCAGGTTTTACTCCTCTGATTTTTTGGCTGCACTCTCCATTTGGATTAATGATTGAACCAAGGTATACACAATCGCTAACTATTTCAGTGTCTTCATTATGAACGTTAAAGTCGTGTATGTAGCATTCAGCCCTGCCCTCACCTGTCCATCACAGCTGGGCGGTGGAACATCAGCCAATGAGGGGGATGGAAGGTGGTGCAGAGAGGGAAGGAGATGGAATATATAAAGGGGTGTATGATGAGGGAGATGGGAGATTAGGGAGAGATTTTGGAGAGAGATTTTTTTGTGAGAGTGAGTGATGAGTGTGTCTATGGGCCTGTGAGCCAAATAGTCAGTGAGGGAAGAGTCTGTGTGTGTCAGTGAGTGAGAGACCTTGATTAACATCTTGTGATTTACTTACTTAATTTTGTTAAACCAATAAACAAGTTTTTGTTTTGAAACAACCCTTGTTTTTTTAAAATATTGGAAAAAAATTGGTGGCAGCAACTGAAGAAGAAAAGTGAGCACTCCTGGAGGCCTGAGTTGGTAGAGGCTTCAGCGTGCTCGCTACAGTGTATTTTCTCTGTAGTAATGATTTTGGTGTTCTTACTGTTCAACTGCAGTTTTGCTTTGGCACATCTTTCACCTTCACTGGAAGTCGTTTCAAGTCATTGTTGCTTTCTGCCAGTAAGATAGTATCATCTGCATATCTTCAATTATTGATGTTTCTTCCACCAATTTTCACTACTCCTTCATCTAAATCTAGTTTGGCTTTCCGTGTGATATGTTTTGCATACAGGTTAAACGGATAAGGGGATAAAATGTATCCTTGTCTGACTCCTTTGCCTGTAGGACACCCTTCTGATCTCTCCCATATTCTGTCCTAATTGTAGCTTCTTGGTCACAGAAGAAGTTATGCATCAGGACAATCAAGTGCTGAGGCACACCCATGGATTATCTTAATAAAGAAGTCATTGTTTTGGTTTGCAGGGCCTGGGCAGGACTGCTAATGATAGGAGAAGTGATTTAATGGTACATAATAACAAAATGTATAAAACGTTTTGTTGCAGTGGCTGGTTGCCTTTTGCATGTGTAACAAAGCAACAGGTTAACAGGGTTAACATTCAAGCACTTCTAGTGGGTGATTAATGAGTCCCCACTGGGATTCTCCAGTGGATGCATGTACCCCTGAGAATCCCAGACAGAATTCATTAATTGCCAGTTAGAAGAGACTGAACGTTATGCTGTTTGCCTTCTACACATGTACCAAAACAAGAGGATTTCATCCAATGCCCAATATTCTTCGTGACATGAGAAGATAAAGATCACTTACTCATAAGAAACTAATTTTTAAAACTCAGTATTATTAGTACATATTTAATGGACATTCACTCATAAATATATAGTCAGTGAGCTACTTGAATAAATGTCACAGTGGTTCGCATCCTTAGGTAATGCAGGTGTTCATATATTGCAACTCCCAGACACCTTCATCACTACCTGTGCTGGCTGGGGTTTCTGCAAACTGCAGTCCAAGAACACCCAAGGTTCAGAACCACTGTTCTAGTACTGTACATTAATCATTACTATTCCAAAGCAGGTCAAACAAAAGGAACCAACATACGCCATTCTGGTTTCTTGTCATTCTTCCTGCTCATTAACTAAAAGGGAAAGAGTAAAAACAATTTTCTGAATGTTAATTGGAGGAGCCTGACCTTCACAAATCAGAACACGTAGAAGCAGGAAAAATGTGTCTAAAGTATTAAAATAGTGTTCCACTTAGTTCAGAAACATCTTACCATGAATTCACATATTGACTGAGATTTGATTGCACAGACACGATATGGATTTTGTTCTCCATAAAAATAATATAGTTCTAGCTATGTTTTTTCCCCAAAATTAATTATGCTATTGGTAAATACAATGGTCAATTGAATTGGTCAGTTTCAAAGCTGTCCGTAGCATTTTTAATGACCTTAGCCATCTTTTCAACATTCATTCATTTTCAGTCAGCACTTGGAGAGAAAATGTAGTTGGCAGGGCTGATCCTACCATAAGGGAGGGTGCTTGGTGTTATGAAAGGGTAAGCAATTGTTATTTATTTTGTTGTTAACTGTGTTTTTACTTCCAGAAAAGGACAGGGGTATTGTTGAGATTTTCTGCCTCTTGTCTCAAAATAACTCACCTGGCTTTGGATTGTGTTCACCTTAACTTAAACAGCAGGAGGGTGTAGTTGATTGCTGCACTCAGACAGCAACATGCCTTGGTATAGATAAAAGATCTTATTCTTTCAACTGTTATGTGCTTTCTGGTTCTACCCCACCCCCAATCTCTACAAGTACAATGAAATAATGGACAAGATTTTACCCATACCATTGTCAGAGAACAGAGGAAAAGGGACTGGTGCAAGGCTACCAGCCAGAAATCTGCTTATGCAACTATTTCTGCATATGGGATTCTCTACATCAGTGGTTCCCAACCTTGGGTCCCCAAATGTTCTTGGACTAAAATGCCCAGAAGCCTTCACCACTAGCTGTGCTGGCCTGGGGTACTGGGAATTGCAAGGTTGGGAACTACTGTTCGAGATACCACATTTACATTTGTGCCTCAGCGGTATATGTCATGTTTGCAAGAAAGCCTGTAGAAGCCAGTGAAAACTGAAGCATCCAATACTGTGGATGCAGTTCCAGATCCTAACTGTGTGCTAAATTGAATCAGTGCTGATATCAAGGGACTCAAGTTTGTTTCCCTCTCTCTGCTTTGTATCCAGTGTCCTTGGGGGGTAAAATGTCAGCAGACCTACCACTAGATATCAACATCAAAGAGCCTCGCTGGGATCAAAGTACATTTATCGGACGAGCAAGCCATTTCTTCACTGTAACTGACCCTAGGAATATCTTGTTATCCAACGAACAATTAGAAAAAGCAAGAAAGATTGTGCATGATTACAGGTATGATTTTTTTAAAAACCACCACTTCATCCCAACAGCTCAGTGTGTGTGACAACACTAAATAATGTAATAAAAGCAGAAGACTAGGACAGCCACAAGAAATAGAAAACACCACACAACTTGCTCTAAGCCCCCTAATCTAACTTGATGCCTCAGTTTGTGTTGGAGGACATGCTTCCAGCACCCGTGTTGAAATAAGATTGAACTGCCAGCTTCTGTAGACAGAATGAGGTGGGGATGTCTTCTTTTGGCTACCATTTCAGCCATCAACAGTTGTTCCTCAGGGCTTGAACAGAGCAGAGTTAGTACATGAAGTTTTCCAGCTGTTGTTCAATTAATTATTGGCTTCCTCTGCAATAGGATCTGAAAGTCAATTATATAAATAAGTGGTGCATATTTTCTCCAGGTGAGAAACCTATGACAATATATCTGTTGAGAAAGAGCGGGATGGTATGCCAGGTATAGGGTGCCCCTCTCTAACCACTGAGCCATGCTATCCTGTTTATCCTGGAGTGAGTGAGCCCAAGAGAATCAAATGTGGTGATGGTTTGGGAACTCGCCAGGTCCTGGCGTTCCCTAACACTGTAGTCTATTTCAACTGAGCAGCGCTTTCAGGGAGTTCTAAAAATCCACAAGTTTAGGTACTTAGAACCACTACTTTGCAAAGCAGAACTGCCACCCCACCTACAAAACATCAAGGCTGCAGATAGCTGGTCAAAGCAAGACCTGGTTTTAGTACCACAAAACATCTTAACCAAGCGCCCAGATAACTGGAGAGTTTTAAATATTTTATTAAAGAGAGTGAAAAAATTCCAAAAAGTTTCAAAATGATTTTTAAAAGCACTTAGAACAAACAGCCAAAACTGAAGCAATTAAGATAAGCACACCAGAAAATATGAAAGCTAGCTAATCTATCAGATATTCACATACTGTTCAAATCAGCATGGTTTTGGAGCATGTATAGAGTGCATGGAGCACTCGTGGCACAGTGGTTAAACCGCTGTACTGCAGTTAAAACTGTGCTCACAACCTGGGGTTCAAATCCCATGTAGCCGGCTCAAGGTTGACTCAGCCTTCTATCCTTCCGAGGTCAGTAAAATGAGTACCCAGCTCGCTGGGGGGGCGGCGGCACTGTGTAGCCTGCATAATTAACTTGTAAACCGCCCAGAGAGAGCTTGAAGCGCTATGGGGCGGTATTGCTTTGCTTTGCTTTGCATCCTTCCTTGGCATAGCATAACAGGACAACAACTGAGCAGAGCATCTCCTGAGGGGTAAAGTAAGCCAAATAAAGTATGTTCTGCATCCCTCTTTATACATTAGGCATCACATTTTGGATCCTTCTGGATTGTCTACAACCAGGCTTCACATTCCGTCCAATATTGTTTAAGACACTAGCACTTGCTGCCCCTCTCCCTTCACACAATTAAAGTCACTTTTCAGTTAGCATAGTACCAGGGAAGAAGCCAACTTGGCCCTGAAGGCTTCACTCAGAAAAGATAAACTGCAGGTTTATCTCCCTTCTTCCTGCTGGACAACAATGTTCCAAGGCATGGACAGAAAACCTTGAGTTTTCCAGAAGAGCAGCATGTTCCATGTTTCTCAGTTTCTTCACAGAGAGCCAATACAATTATGGAAATAACAGCACAGTTTTTCATGGAAGGACCTAATTCTTGTGCAAGCAACTGATACATGGCCATACTAAGAAAATATGTACCGGTCCTGTTTGTGAATTATCACTTACTTTATAGTCATAAAATGCATCATTATGTCATATTTCTGATTAAACATATGTTTTCATTAATCTTAAGGCAAGGCATTGTGGCTTCTGAACTAACTGAAGATGAACTCTGGAGGGCAAAATATATCTATGATTCAGCCTTCCATCCAGATACGGGTGAAAAAATGGTTTTGATTGGCCGCATGTCTGCTCAGGTGCCTATGAATATGGCTATTACAGGCTGCATGATGACTTTTTATAGGTAAGTAATCAGATTTACCCTAGAATTAGCTCTTGTGGGTGCTTTTTACTACTTTTCACTATTTCTCATTATGGCTGTTAATATGAAGTTTCAAACCACTTATCCTTGTACAAAAATTCCTCAGAGGTAAGGTCTGTAGAGATGTGGCATCTGGGCACTAATATCAGGGGGTCAGATTCTGACTAAAATCCAACATGGAATTGAGGGAGGAGTGAGCTGTCATTCTTGCCTCACCCCTAAGGATATCCCTGAAGCCTGCTTTAGAGGGCTGTGGCTATTCCTAAGCTGGTTTTGAAGCAATTTTTGAGGGCTACAAATAGGAGGAGGAGAGGAGGAAGTCTTTTCCATGACACTGGCATTGCAGCATGAGTAACATGTTGGATTTAGGTCCACTATTGTAATTTTCGCAGAGCTCTGTTTCTGTCATGATTATCTATATAATTTTTCTGTTGCACAGTTCTGGATTCTTGGTTAAATTGCTCCATCTGTGCAACAGAAGCATCAGAATATACAGAGCAGAATATCTTCAAGGTCGTCAGAGTAGACACCCCTTTCTCATTAACTGGCACTAACTCTGAGACATTAGTACTAGAAAGAATAAAAACCATCTTCTTTACTTACAGTTGTGAAGAGATAAAACAACAAATCAACAAACATGACTGCTTTCAACAGATGTCAACAGACTCACTGCTTCTAACAGACAACAGAGGGGGAAAGAGACACAGAGCAAAGCAGTGGAGCTCTCTTTGAACTCAGAGGCAGGGAAGGAAGTGGTTAGTGCTGGATAGATTGACAGTCACTGCAGCCCAGAAAGGTCCTCCCAGCCAATGTTGCTAGAGGAAGCATGCAAGGTTGCAAGAAATCCCAACATTTTCCCTTCTTGAATTACTGAACTTATCTTTTCTGTAAGACCTGGAAATAATGGATGTTGCATTCTAGTAACCCCAACACTCTGAAATAGAGCTGGGAAATTTTTTGAAATACCTTAGCAAGTACTGTTGGGCATATCAGAGAGGAAGACAGAGCTCTCTATCCTTATAGCTGAGAAGTGAACTGTAAAATAATCTTCAGGGCCAGTTTGTGGTCCCTAGAAAACGTCACAGGGGCCTTTTAATGTTACTAACCTCCCTTTGTGCTGGCAGTGAAAGAGATCTGCCCCTGAATGGCAGAGGCCTTTACTGCAATCCCTGACAGCTCTTGCCCATTGTGCTTGGTTGGACAGAAGGCACAGCCGCTGTTGTTGGGCTTGCCTTTCAAACATGCACTTGCATGCATACAGAGGGACAGGCAAGTATTTGCATAGTCTCTCCCATACACACTGAGGAGGGCAGTCATTCACTCAGACACTGCCTCATTTTCACTACATTCATTCACTCCACAACTAAGCTGAGTAGTAAGAAAAATGCATTCAGGTCCAAAGGAGAAAAGTTTCTCCTTTCCACCCAAATAAACACAGAATGGGATGGAACTGGGAATTTGGGGGTGGGGGGACAGGCAAGGCCCTAACCCTACACCTCTGATTAAGGAGGTGGTCCAGTAAGGGGAGGATGTCTGTGTCTGAGGTGGGAGAGTACCCCCATTTGCTTATAGGGCTCAGATTCCACTGGTTGTAACAATGAGAGCAGAGGAAAGGGCAGGCTTGTGGAGGTCTTCGATCACCAGATTATCCCTCAAATTAGCCCTGTGGAGCTGGTTGACTGAGCAACCCCAACCTCCCTCAAGAAAAAGAAGTGTTGAAAAGGACAATAAAAGTCACCATCCCTCACAACCCCAACCTCCCTCAAGAAAAAGAAGTATTGAAAAGGACAATAAAAGTCACCACCTCCATCCCTCGCCTAGGCCACAGTGGGTACCAGATACAGCAGATGCTGTGCAGATTTGCCCCTCCGCACCCACAGGATCACTTCACCCACAATCGAACTATAAAACTCCCTTACGATCTGAGCCTTAAGTTCAGAAAATGATCAATTGCTAGGCAACCCTTAGTTATTCTGGTACTTGGAAATGAGCTTATGCCTTAATTTCTAAAAAGAATTTGGATCACTCATGATTTGTTGGTAATTACACACTGTGACTTTGAAAACACTGTGTGTATCTTTGTATGTTTCATAAGATGAAAACATTCCACTCACTATATTTGCTGTACAATTATGAAATACTTTTGCTTGTTAGAGGGAGGATCAGCCAGTGGCACTTGACTGTTTTCATTTCCTACTTTCAAAGAAGTTTAATTGCATTACTTTTCCTTTTTTAAGAACAACTCCAGCCGTGGTCTTCTGGCAGTGGATTAACCAGTCATTCAATGCCATTGTAAACTATACCAACAGGAGTGGAGATGCCCCAATTACTGTCAGGTAAAGTAATTACACTGTCTAATTAAGTAATTAGTCTCTCTCGGAAAATTCAGTTGCCTAAAACAAAATATATGGCTTCATTAGATATGATATAGACCTGAGATGTAAACTATCACAAAGAACAGCTGAAATATTTTGAAGGTTTAGGATTAGATCCAGCAGGGTCAGTCTGTTTATCAGATGGGCTCAGGCTGCAAAACCAGAAGGGTAAGATTCTCCTTTTCTGTTTGCCTCGCCCTGGGACCTCTCCAATCTGCCGCAGAAAGCTGAAAGACACCCAGGAGAACATTTTTGGGACACAGGACACCCGCCATCACTTTGGGCTAAATCCTTTCATTAGCTCAAATAGTCCCACTGAATCAGTAGGATTTGCATAAATGTCAACTCACCATTTGACAGTGGATTCAGTGGATTCATTTAAGCTGTGACTAACAACTAGATCTTGCCCTTCAAGTGTTTAAAATGTGGCTGAGTCTTTGTAATATCCATGGGGTCTTGATGAAAGCCAGGTTAGTTCACTGAAATGGTGCAGTCAGGCTTGCTGAAGGCTCTACTCCAGTAATGGAAGATTTTGATGAGAGTGAACATTGGCTGTGAAGTTAAATGGAGCTTGATTTCTGAGCAGGAGCTGAACTATTGCAGATTTAAGACAGTCTTCTCTTCTGCTGTCTTCCTATGTGTACATGCCCCAGAAGTCCCTGTATTTTCTGAATGGCTTAAATAGATCACAAATTGTTTAGTTAGGATTATTATTAAATTTGCAATGTGGTCTTTCATAGAATGACTTGATGTGACGACATGTAAGAACAAGGTAAAATATAATGGAGAAATAGAAGTGATGCTGATGTAATAACCATAATATGTAACATGCATATAGTGTGTTTTCAAGCATTCACAGCCCTTCATGTACACCTTTTCTCAGTAATAGATGAGACACTACTAGATGCATGACTGCCATCTTACTTCTTTCGAGTACTAAACATAATTTCTTTGCATGTTGATAATCACACAAGATCATATTTGCATAGTTTAAATGACTAATGAGGTCACTAATACAATCTTGGCATCTATTGTGGATTGTATCTGACTGCATATGTGACTGATCTTTCCAAAATCTTGGCATCTATTGTGGATTGTATCTGGTGGGAACTGGGACACGCCTGACTGCATATGTGACTGATCTTCCCAGCCTGCAGTGTTTCTCATTCTCTGAACCTCAGCTGAGGCCTCCTTAATGTCATGAAGATAAACAATTGAGTGAGATACCTGGAAAATATTGTGGTGGAAGGCAAAGGGATGTTGGCTGTAGATGGCAGAGTAGAGTGCAAGAGTCAAACTAGGCAAAACACTCAGCTTGTATTTAGAAACTCTTCTCCTGGAAGGTGATTTCCTGAGAGAGATGAGCTTGGGCAATTAGACTTGCATATTAAGCCTGTCTTTACCTCCCCTTGACCAGTCACAGAACAATGCTTACTGGAATGCAAAATGAGGAGCTGTGTAAAAAAGACATGTAAACACATTTCATCATTTGAGGGAGCATGAATTCCAGTGATATCCTAATAATACCATCTAGTTTGACTCTAAGATAGGGCAGGGGGAAAGTCCTGTGGCCCCTCAGATGTTGAACTACTACTTAGATTATTCCTTTTCACTAGCAAGGCTGGCGGGGACTTATGAGATTTTAAATCCATCAACATGTGCAGTTCTCCATCCTTGATGTAGGAGCTTTTTAAAAAAATATATAGGCATAGAATTTCCAGTTGCCTGTAGGTAGTAACATCAAATCCACTCCTTTTTCCTTGGTCTGATTGGCAGGGCATACATGTCATGTTTGTATGTTAGCAAATCTACATAGCTTTTTCATTTTTCCAGATGCAGTTAGTAAAACTAGTGTTAGCCCAATATTAAGGTCTGAAGGCATATAGTGAACAAACAGGGTTAGGTCTAATTAGTTTTTTAATGGAATAGTGGCTGAGAATCTTATATGTGTAACCCTGATCTTCTAGAATGTCAGGATACAAGTATAATTAATAAAACAGGCTTATTTCCTAGGCTTTTATAAAAGGAGCAATCTAACTCCGAGGGACATGGTTAGAGGTCACATACTCTCCATAGCTGGTTGCTTAGTCACCAAAGCGTCATAGTGTAGCTTTGGACATTCCAAGGCTTAAGACACTGGACTGAAAAGCTGTTTGGGGGCAGGGAGAACAAAATTGCTAGGGGTCTAGTCTCCCCAAAATAGTGTCTGGCAGGCCAAACATGGAAGCCCTGTGTGCCTTGCCTCCCGGAAAGGTCTTTCTTATTCACAGAATCTGCTAGTAAACCCTGAAAAGAGTCACCATAAATCAGAATTGTCCGGAAAGCATTTAATTGTTATTAAATGTGTGTAAGCTGTAATGCACATTATTACTTGGCATGTGCAAGCGTTCTTATTTTTGTTTTAGCCAGCTGGGAGCAGCCTATGTTTCTGCTACCACAGGTGCCGTTGCAACTGCTCTAGGACTGAATGCACTAACAAAGGTATTTCCCTTTTTTTACCCAGTTTTGTGTGTGTGTGTGTGTGTGTGTGTGAAAGACATCAACAGAGAGAGAGAGAGAGAGAGAATGTGTGTGTGTGTGTGTGTGTGTGTGTGAGAGAGAGAGAGAGAGAGAGAGAGCTTTGGTTGTTGTGAAAACTTGCAGTTAATGATTTGTATAGTCATCAAAATATTTTAAAAAAAAAAGATCTTGTGACACCTGAAAGGCTAATGTGCTTTTTGTCATGTGCCCTGGCACGTTTAACAAGTTGGATGCCTGTGGGCCTTTTAACTTATTGTGATTAAATCTTTGCTTCTGTGCAATTGTATTTGAACATATAAAACTGCAGTTATACATCTGAACATCTTGTATCCCAAGATATATTATTAGAACCCCTTTTCCAAAGCTCCCTCACTATGGTTTTATTATACATTGACCGTGTCTATTTCTTTCATGCCTCTGATGGAGGAAGATCTTGCCTGCGAAAGCAACAGGCTGAGTTGGTTGCACATCTGAAAGCTTTCTTTGAGTTTTCTTTGAGTCAGAGATATTCTTTTTTAAACAATTTTTTTTAAAAAAAATACTCTTTTATCTTCCTTAAATGGTATCAGGCCAAAAGCTGAACTTGTATTGCTGGGGTAGAGGATATCACAGGATTTCTGTTTCCAACTATTTCCTGCAATGTAAACTATAATAGAAAAACTACTCCAGAGGGCAATCTGCACCCCTCCAGATAAAACCAAACTGCTATTCCTATCATCCCTTACTACTGACCAGATTTACTGGAATTGATAGGAATGATAGCTCAGCAACATCTAGAAGGCCACAAGATCTATCAGAAGACACATCCTCCACAACACACATTCTCTGGTGTTCTGATGTATGTTCTTTTAATCTGTTTTCCATAAAATAGGAGCCAAAGTTACCCATGTAATTGCCACCTCCTTAATATATTGGCCACCTTGCACTGATTATTGGCCTGTTTCTGTACCAGGTGCTGGCTTTGACCTATGAAGCCCCAAATAGTTTGGGACCTCAACACATAGCAGAACACCTACTTCCAACATGGAGCACCCATCCTAACTGCACGACTGAAGGTGTTAACCCCAAAGGAGGCCTGGAGGGAGACTTGCACTGATTATTGGCCTGTTTCTGTACAAGGTGCTGGCTTTAACCTATGAAGCCCCAAATAGTTTGGGAGCACCCATCCTACTTGCACAACTGAAGGTGTTAACCCCGAAGGATGTTTGGAGGGAGTAAACAAGGAACTGGGCCTTCTTGGCAGTCACTCCTTGACTGCTTTGGAATCAGCTACCTCCCAAAATCTGCCTGGCCCCCTCTCTAGGGACCTTTAAGAAAACGCTCAAAATCTTTGTATTTCAACAGACTTTTAAAAACATGCCATCTGAAAAGCTGCTGAGAGTATCAGCCTACCATTTTTAATTGTTGCCTGTTTTTAAATGCAATATTAAATTAATTTTCACTTTGATTATTTTTGTGTTATTTTATGCAATTGCTACTGTGGTAAACCAGCCAGAATGACAATCAATCAGTCAGTCAGTAAGGCAAAAAGAAGTTAGAGAGAAAGAAAAATACAGTGTAAAGTTGGTCCAGGTGCTGCTAACTGCTCTCTCCTCTTTTTTTCACAGCACGTGTCACCTCTTATAGGACGTTTTGTCCCTTTTGCTGCGGTTGCTGCTGCTAACTGCATTAATATCCCATTAATGAGGCAAAGGTAAGATAAGAGAGAAGATGGAACGGAGCTTCTTGGAAACAGATCTCACTCGCTGGCTTTGTAAAAATGCTTGCAACGTTTTCCTGAGCCGCTCCTGCAAAAGAAGCTAAAGGGTTCATTGCGGGTTGTATCGAAGTGGGATCAAGCTCTAGAAGGAGCTGAATCTTTTCTTTTTTTAAAAAAAAAAGTTTAAATTCATGCTTGCTCCACTTGAATTGTGGTGACAAGAAAAAAAATGATTGATTTGACATGGGTGGGCAAGGAGAGAGATGTGGTTTTGGAAGAGAGCTTGATGGATACTATGGCCCACCAAAAAGGCAAGCAAATGGGCTCTAGATGAAATCAGTCCAGTGTGGTGTAGTGGAGAGAGTGATGGGCCAGGACCCAGGAGACCTGGGTATGAACCTCTACCCATATTTACCATAAAGCCCCTGTTAGGGTTACTGTAAGCCAGTTCTGATTTTACAACAAAATCAGATCAAGCCTGGACTGTTGCTAGAAGCTAAAACAACTAAATTGAAGCTATCACATTTCGGTCATATCATGAGAAGACAAGACTCTCCGGAAAAGATAGCAATGCTAGGAAAAGTGAAAGGCATTCAGAAAAGAGGAAGGCCTAGCAGGAGATAAGCGGACCCTGTTAAGAAAACTGCAGCCTTTTGTTTGCTCCCATTAGCTTGCATGGGGCATGGGACTTAAGAAATAAAAATCTGGTCTTCTGGGGGAGACCCACCCTCTGCTGATGACTGCGGCCCTTCCCTTCCCCAGCCTTCGATGTTACCCTTGTAGAGACCCTTCCCCAACAGAAAAAGGAAACATTTAAGGGGCAAAATGAACAGGGGGGGGAGGCATCGTATCACCAAGGTCCCTAGAGAGGGAGGCCAGGCAGAGAGTGAGGGAATGATCTTTTCCCAGCATCCTGTTTTCTCTCTTAGTAATCATAAATATTAGTTTAATTATCCCATTCTGCCCTCTGTCAGACAAACTTGTATGATTTCTGAGTTGATCGAAGGAAAATCTGGGGAAGCTCTCTCATAGTCACGCATATTCATTATTTATTTGTCAATATTAGCCACAAACATGTATTTATTACTGGATTGGCATCTTACTTTTCCTCCAGTGAGCTCAAGCTCCCTCATGTTATCCTCAGAACAACTGTGTGGGGTTGATCCACTTGAGAGAGGATGGCGGGCCCAATCCATGTCACCCACTAGGTTGTGGGTGAGAGAAGACCTTGCGTCTCCCATTTACAAATATGCTCAGTCCCACTGGAGATCTTTAAGATCAGTTTTTACATCAGGAACAGGAAACGATCTACAGCACGGGAGGAGCAGAAGATGTGTTATAATCACTCTGCTTAGAAAATCCCTGGCATTCTTCTCACAAGCTGCAACTTGACCCTCTCCAAAATAAAAAAGATGGGAGAAAACAATAGAAAGTAGTGATTGTTCAGGTTTTTTCTTTTCTTTTTCTTCTTTCTTTCTTTTTTTAAACTCAACAGGGAACTAAAGTATGGTATTCCTGTTACAGACGAAAATGGAAACCGATTAGGTGAATCTACCAAAGCTGCTCAACAGGCCATTGTGCAGGTGGTTGTCTCAAGAATTCTTATGGCTTCTCCAGGCATGGGTGAGTTCCACTTCTCTTAAACATCACACTTCCAGCGATAACGATAGAATCGTACTCTTCTGAGAATTTGGCTGCACATTTGCACTCTGCTCTTTACAGAACAGCTAATGGCTGGCTACTTCCAGTCCCTCTGGCTTCTGGACCATCTGAGAAGATGTGTAGAAATACTGACTCTTCTTTAAGAATCCAGTGTGAACTCATCTTTTTCTTCTTTGTAGCTAAAGCACTAGCCTGTTGTCCAATGTTCTTTAAAACTTCCCATTTAATTTCAGATAGCTAAATGCATTCACCTTAGCCAGGTGTTCAAAATAGAGTTGATCTGAAAGAGTAAGAAGGGAGAGAATTCTGGCCCTTTGCCCTGTCACCACATGAGGAAGAACAGTTTGAAAAGATAGTCAACATTGTTCTGAAACTTAAAACTTCATAAAGCTAACGATGTGGCAATTGCAGTGACAATTTTTCAAAAATTAAAAAATCCAATATTCCCCTGAATATACTATTTACACTTCATGGGGCCATCTCTGTTCATTTTGAATATGATTGATTGATTTGATTTGATTTGATTTATATACTGCCCATCTGGCATCAAAGGCCACTCTGGGTGGTTTACAACAAGTAACATAAAACAACAAAGGAGCAAAATAACAAATAATAACATCAATACATTAGGGGCGCAAATCAAAAGTCATAAAGTGCAGTGAGTATAAAATTACAATACAATAAATAGAATTGAAAGTGTAGAAAAATATAAAAACATGGAACATTTTAGCAATTTACTAATTCATATGCTTGATTAATATGGAGAATGTAATGCTACCTGTACATGTGTTGCAGCATAAGGTGATCATGAACTGCTGTGCATATATAATACTTTATATAGGCTTTTTTTGCCTTTATTTATTTAACAGACATCTGAGCCATCTTTCAAAATACAAATATTTTTCAAGGCAATGTAACAAAGGTAATAAAGTTATTAAGCATGTGGCTTTTCTTTTGTTCTTTCCATAGGTATTCCCCCTTTCATAATGAATTCTTTGGAAAAGAAGGCATTTTTAAAGGTAATTCTAGGCTCCTAAAGATATAGCCATTCTTTTAATACAATTGATTTACTGAAGTAGCTTCAGATATTCACAGAGTGGTCGAGTCTCTAATAATTTTCTGTCCCTTTTTGGAGACCATTATTTTTAAAGGCATATATATGGCTTTTAAAAATAATGGTCTTCTGTATAAATGCTTTTGACATCATTGTTTTTCATTAGCAGTAGTTAAAGGTTATCTGTTTGCTGTAAATTGGGATATCCGCCCCCCCAAGGTGTAAGACTGTCAGATGGAAGCTTCTGTTTCTTTGTAGCCAAATCTGTAGCTTATAGCTTTTTTAAAACCTATGTTTTAATTTCAAAGATCTGCTCATTGTTACACAACCAGGCTGCCACTTGAACAACAGGAGTTTCATTCCCCCCCGAAGCCCTCCTCCCATGAGTACATCTCCCAAATGTACCCTGGAAAGTCTTTCAGACATTTGGAGCAGATTTGTGGTATGTGAGGAAAGGTGTGGGAGGAGGTCAGCCTATTAGCAGTGTGCAGTCTGTATCAGAAGAATACCACCGAATGTAAGCCAGAGATTCTCCTGTGTAGCCATGCCTTTTGCATTTCATATAGACATTGGCCCACCCCAGTTGGAGGTGACATAGAGAAAGCTGTCTGAAGAGTATGATGAACAGCTACATATACCTGGCTTGACATTATGATAGGAAGCCGCTGCTAATGTAGACTCTTCATGACACCTGTATCTTCTGCACTCTCATTCTGCTGTTGGCAGCAGATCACAGAGCAAGAATATAATTGACACCACACATTGGGATAAATACAGTAGTTAGTTCCAACAATAATAGACCCATCAGAAACAAATGAAACTTGGTTGAGTGTCATAGGTGGGCTAACATTTGGATTTACTTCGAAATTGACATAGTAGTAATTGATAACTGTTTGTAATAATCTGTACTGAAAACTTTCACTCTGGCTTACAGGAAGACAATTTCCTTCACCTAATCTGAGAGGATTTAGGAAGTACAGTGGTGCCCCGCAAGACGATGTTAATTCGTTCCCTTGAAATAGTTGTCTTGTGAAAACATCGTCTTGGGAAAAGCGTTTCCCGATTGGAATGCATTGAAACCCGCTTAATGCATTCCAGTGGGGAAAAATCGTCATCGTCCAGCAAAAATCAGCCATAGGGAAGCCACTTTGCGAAGCGCCGATCAGCTGTTTTAAATCGCTGCCTTGCGAAAAACGTGGCCGAAAACACCCGTTTTGCAAAGATTGCCCCTAGGGAAGCCAATTTGTGAAGATCAGCTGTAAAAATCATCATCTTGCGAAAAAACAGTCCGCGAAGCATGGACCAAATCGTCGTCCAGCGAAATTCCCCCATTGGAATCACTGTTTTGCGAAGCAAAATGGTGGTCTCAAAACCTTGTCATCATGCGGATTCGTCGTTTTGAGGGGTAATCGTCTTGCGAGGTACCACTGTACTTAACATTTGCAACATGAAGTAAAGTTTTTAATCCTGCTTTCTGCTACCTGTAAATATGTAAAGAGTTATGTTTAGCTTTCTGATACTGTTGTTATTTTTAATCTTCATAAACCTTGGGCCAGTTTAGAATTATAATAAGAGTGACCGACTCATGCTGGTTTCATTTTAAAAACATGAATTTGGCCATGTCACTCAAACTGCTGATTAATTAACCTCCCAAAAAATCACACTGACCAAAATATGTGTCTTATTAAGTGCAAGAAGCATCACTAAGGTTATTATGCTGTACTGTTAACATTCTGATAAACAAAAAGATACATAAAGGTTGAGTCATTATAATGAACAATGGATAAAGCATTCAGGCACTGTTTAAAAAGAATAAGAATAATTACTTACCCTTCCCAAGGTATATTGTAAATGGAAGGGCTTTAGGTCAAGAAGCATGAAAGCAGGGATAAGTGCAAAGTACTGCACCTCGGAAAAAGAAACCAATTGCCCAGTTACAAGATGGGGGATACCTGGCTCAGCAAAAAAAGGAGGGAGAATGATATTTGAATCATTGTAGATCACAAGCTAAATAGGAGCCAATAGTGTGATGTGGCTACAAAAAAGGCCAATGCTATTTTAGGCTGCATTAATAGAAGTATAGTTTCCAAATCCTGCAAGGTGCTAGTCCCCGTCTATTCAGCACTGGTTAGGCCTCACCTTGAGTATTGTGTCCAATCCTGGACACCACACTTCAAGAAGAATGCTAACAAATTGGAACAAGCTCAGAAGAGGGCGATGAGGATGATCAGGGATCTGGAAACCAAGCCTTATGAGCAAAGGCTGAAAGAATTGTTTAGCCTTGAAAAAAGAAGACTGGGGAGTGATATGATAGCACTTTTCAAATATTTGAAAGGCTGTCATACAGAGGAGAGGCAAGATCTGTTCTTGATCATCCCAGAGTGTAGGACACACAACAATGGGCTCAAATTAAAGGAAGCCAGATTTCAGCGGAATATCAGGAAAAAACTTCCTAACTGTTAGAGCAGTAGGACAGTGGAACTAGTTACCTCGGGAGCTGGTGAGAGCTCCAACACTGGAGGTATTCAAGAAAAACTTAGATAACCACCTGGCAAATATACTTTGATTGTATTCCTGCATTGACTTGATGGCCTTGTAGGCACCTTCCAACTTCACTTTTCTGTGATTCTATGTAAACAGGAGTGATCTAATCATCTTCACCATTTCAAACCATTCCAAAGTGGTCGAGACTAGTTTGCTCCCTGTTGCTAATGTAGCTCTACCCTTAGTTAGAGTTTGGAGGTTTGGATTGATTTGATGTGTGCTTGAAATCATTTTTTGTAGAATTTAATATTTCATGCTAGATGGAACATGGATATCTGCTCAAGCATGCTGGATGTTTTGACATAAAAAAGGGATGACTCTTTCTATCAATGCAGTGACAATTGCTGCAAGAAATAATGTTTGTCAAGTGACGTCTCCACTGATTTTTGTGCATTGAGTCAACATGAGGCTGTTGTAAATTTTGCTGATGAGCACATGGGACCTAACCCTTCAGTGACAGCTCAGTGTTCTTTGACACGGTCACGACTCTCTTTCTGTTTCCTTGCTCCTCTCTGCCCCCTCTCTGCTGCACAGACTGTGAATTCAGGTGAATCATTGCTTTACAGTTAGTTAATTATAAGACATGTTATCGATCACCTAACTCCATTAAGTAGTGGAGTGTACTTTTTCTATTTCAAGCAGCTTATTATGTATGCCATACTAAAGCTTATCACTTTGGAAGACTGTGATACCATCTGCTTTACTAAAGCATATGAGCTTCATTTAGAATTTTCTATCATTCCAGATAATTATTCTCATTCTCTTAACTAATAAATTTAAAGGAATGAGGACTTCATTGCTTAAATTCGTAATTCCAACCTATCACAGAAATATCAACTTCCTTCTAGAGGACTATTTTCCATCTACTTAAATTTAATCACAGAGAACCTTGCTGAGTCATGAAAAGTAGGACATGTGTGAATACAATCCACTTTGATTCAATCCAAAGTATTTGGCAAATCAAAACAATTTCCTTTGAGGTGATTTGCAGCGCATCCAATTCAATTTGTAACTGAATCTTTAGAAGTATTTTTGCAAATAGCAGAAAAAATGGAAATGAAGAAAATAATGGTATACAGCCTTGCATAGGGGCTGAAACTGTGTGGCATCAACTGTTGCTCAGTCTCTAATGTATAGGCAGGTCCAACTCATTTTCTCCCACTTTCAACTCCTATTGGGAGCCGTGCAGTTTACTCAGATTTAGTCAGCTGATACCCTTGTATTGAAATAAAAGCCAACAGCAAGCATTTAAAAAAGTAAAGTACAAAACACTTGGGATGAGATAGTTTAGCTCCTGTTGCTAATGCAATTGTGACCTATCCCACTCAAATCACAAACAGTGTCACAAATTGAAATGCATGGGCACTCAGACAATTGGACTGAGATCTGCAGCTACCTAAAAGCAAAGAAGACGCCAAAAATTCCAATGCACATTCACCTTCTTCCTGAATATTAAAGTGATACAAATAGCAATCTCTTTCTAGTCTCTCTAACATATTTCCCTTGCAAAATGGCTGCTGATCACAGCGATAGGGAATTCATTTCCATGGGTTCCATGACTGGTTCTCTAAGTCCTTTGAGCTTCTATGTTTATTGGTTACAGCATTATTTTGTTTTCTCTGTGAGTGCTTTTTGAAAAACAACCCAGTTTTTTTAACTCCCAAAGTGTCAACGCAATATTTGGCACTTCTGAGAGTCCCAATTCAAGTTGAGTACTGTTTTGGCATGCCCTGCTTCACTTTGGATCAGTCTGGAAAATGACAAATGTTCTTGTTTTGCTTTAGATTTTGTATAATTTCTGAATCTGAAACATTCCTGATAAAATAGTTGAAGGTTCCCAAATATGACTCTTAACAAAAAGACTCTTCAACCAGATCATCCCTAATTCCATTAAGCAGTGAACAACAATGATCCCTAATCCTGTTCTCCAGATGTGCCACTGATAATACTGGCTGGGGATTCTGGGAAATGCAGACAAACAGGATCTGGAGACCCAAGGTTAGGGACCACAGGGCTATGGCATACAGAACAAAAGACAGCTCAACTAAATATTTCAGCTATTAGAAACATAATAGCAGGATACCACATGAGTGTTTACCAGCTGTGAATGATCCATAGGATTTAGGAATAACTAAAAAGAGTAAAACAAATTAAACAAGCAGGAATGAACACACAAGCATAATATGAGAGTTACCAGTGATTGAATACATGATCTAATATATGCACACCTGAAACAGTTACATATTTGATTCGCCTTATGATTTTGTTTATTAATAAAAGAATATTTGATCCATCCCCTGATTCCTAAGTTATATGAGCAGCTCCTGTGTGCGGGAATGGTATCGGTATTAGGAGAAATACCTGGTGGCAGCGAAAAGAAGGAAAAAGGCGTTTTTACCTTTGTGGAGCCCAAAGAAACAA